TTCGTTATTATTATAGCATATACCTTCTACCACATTGGTAAAGGAACTTGCTATCAACATTAGGTTCAACCACCTCATGGGTTGTCTCAACTATAACATTCTCTCTATATGCTCCAACATTTGGATTTTCAACATTAGTTGGTGTTTCATTGACTAGTTATGGTGTTGGTGCTGGTTATCTACAGGTTTTTTTGTTATATCTTTGACCACCACATCTCTTACTCCTATACTTTCCATTGTCTCTTGTCAGTCTTGTCAAATTTGGGTCAATTTCACCTAGTTCTCTTCTCCTCAATTTGTTTGGTCGCCCAGGGCCCCTCTTATTTTTGGGTGGTTGTATCTCATCAAATTGACTTTCAGGCCACATATCCTATCCATTTGTGGCAAAAATCTTGTTTGCATAACACATAACATATGTATCCCTAGAATAACAATTATTAACATAATTCATGAAGTTTAACTTTTTGAACTACAGTGCAACCTGTAACACCCTGAATTTTTACTAATGCAATATTAATTATTATTTATTTTTATATTTATGAAGATTATTTTATTATAGTTGTTTTAGTTAATTAAAAAAGGATTTTTATAAAATATTGTAAAGGTTTTTAATAATTTAATTATTTGTGAAATTTTTTGTGAAATTCTGTTTTTTTTACGCCGGAACGGGCTGTTCCAAAAGTAGAACGGGCCGTTCCAAATGAAGTAAATAAGTTACTTTTGAAGCAGCAGAACAGGCCGTTCCAAAAGTGGAACGGGCCGTTCCAAAGTAATGTAAAGGCCCATTTTGGTTTTCCCGGAACGGGCCGTTCCCAAAGCGAAACAGGCCGTTCTGAGATTTTGAATTTGCCTAAAAAGTTAAGTTAGAAACTAGGCGTTCTACGTATGGTCAATGAGTGTTAAATGGAACCCCAGAACAGGCCATTCTAGTTTTAAAACGGGTCGTTCTGCTTTTTGAAAACGGGCCGTTCCGATTTTAGAACGGGTCGTTCTAGTTGAGAATTTTACGTATATTTGAAGGATCTGGAACGGGCCGTTCCGAATTCAGTACGGGCCGTTCCGGGTGCACCAGGATGCCTATAAATAGGGGCAAGGGGGGTGAAAAATTTATAACTTAGTGAGAAGGTGAAAATCTTAGAGAGAGAAAGAGAAAGAAAGAGAGGGAAAGAAAGAGGGAATCCAGAGGAGGAGGTCCTGCCCAAGTTTTAGCTCTGCTTATCCAGGTAAGGGGGGAGTGAGAAACCTCGCTCGGGGGTGTGCGAATAATTGTTGGATAGTTTGATTGTCGAATTGGCCCCCAATCCTTTGCCTGTTGTTCTATTTTACTTTCTGTTTGCTCTACTTTGTTTCTTGTTGGAAGTAATAAATGAATATGTGATTAATGTTAAAAATAAATAAGTTTTAATATGAATAAGACTGTTCTCTGTGAATTCCTATGCGGACCCTATGAGGAGTATTTATGACATGACCATGTGAAATATGGACAACTAACATGAGACATAAGAATGGACTATTAAGACAAGTCATGATTATGAGAATATGGAAAATGATGACATGATGTACTAAATGAAATTTTGTAATAAGTCAATGTTGAGTCAATGAAATAATAAATGTATGACATGCATCATATGCATATATTACTCCAGGTGTGCCGCTGAGGCCGCATACCAGTGATGCTAACACGGCGTACCTTAGGATCACCAGAGATGTAACATGCTAACACGGTGTACCTTAGGGTCACCAGTGATGTAACCAGGTGTGCCGTAGGGTCACCAGTGATGAATTGTTAAACTTCCGTATGGCGCCACATGCATGCATTTGTGAGTCGAGTCCATGACATCATAGCATGATAAATGAGTATATATGTGATATTGATTATTTATTTGTATTATCTACATGTGACTTATATTTGTTATGTGTGTGTGTTATCTAACCTTTATTTCTTCACCTGAAACTGAGTGAGATGTTTCTCACTCCCTTGTTGTTCTTGTATATGTTTAAATTATGTTGCAGGCGATCATCATCATGAGGATGTTGGTGATGAGGCTTAAGGCTTCAGTTGGGCGTGCTCTGATAGGATGTGACATCGGGGCATAGCTAGCTTAGTCTAATATGTTATTATTTTAATAACTTTAGTTTCTTTTCTTTTGTAATTTCTAGCAAAGAAATAACGTAAATAAAGTTTGTAATATTTCTTTTGTAATTTTGAACGTTCTTGATAAAAGACCAAAATGTGCATCTTTATCATATTATTTTATTACATGATTTGAAAGTTATAAATTAATTCCTAACTAGGAGGCACTGCCACCTTTGCTGGAATTATTCTGTATTTTCTATTATATGATTTCTTGAATTTGGATACTTACATGACTTATGAGTTACGAATGTGAATCTTCTACCTTATGATATTTGCAACAATTATTTTATCCATGAAAGAAATTGTCAACTATGAAAGATTTTATTTATTCAAAAAGGAAAAAAAAATTATTGTTTACATTTATTGTGTATTAATGATGGGGTAGAGGGTGTCACACAACCATTGCATGCCTGCATGGAATACCTACCAAATCCCAAAAATTGCAACTACAATAATTTCGGTTGATGTTAATGAGAAATTTCTCACCACTGTGTAAATGGCTCACCTCAAAATCTCCATCCCTACTCCAACATGCAACCCAATTCCCAGATTTTTCAACCTCTCAATCTAACTTCTTCAAAGGTTTACGCATAATCTAACCTATGTAATTTTTACACTTATCTCTAAGGTTTGAAAACCTATTCATGAGGTACATCCTAATCCACTCAAACATGCTTATGATTGGCTTATCCATAGCAACAAGTATGGTACTATTAAATGCCTCACTCAAATTATTCATCAACAAATCACACTTTGTATAAAAGAAGAATTTATGCTTACACCATGCTTTTTTGTCAAGGTTATATAACCACCAATATGCAACCTCATTCACATCTCTAATCTATTACATTTTAGACTTCCACAGTTGTTCATACGTTGCTTTGGCATCACCCATCATTAAGTCTCTTAGTTGCACACCTCCTCCAAATTTCATTTTGAAATTATTATACAAATGTCTCAAACATAACTTGTGTTCAATTGGGACAGGAAATTCTTCAAACACTTGTAGTAAACCATATACAAAATGAATTGACAGTTAGTACAAAAGTTTGCTAGCAACATAGACAATTATAGTCAACAGGTATAAATCAATTTATCTTTTGTTGGCCACTCATAAAAACCCATTTATTGTTCTGTACAACACCAATATCCTCTAGAAGCAAATTCAGAAACCATTTCCATGAGTCTTTTGTCTTAGTTTTCACAACAGCAAAAGCCAAGGGCAAATATTGATCGTTTGAGTCTCTACCAACAACAATCAATAGTTGACCTCCATACTTTCGTCTCAGGGTTACGAACACTATGAGCAACATCTTCCTACTCCTCCTCAAGATCATCATTTTTCCTTGCAATTGTCTTCTTTTGAGTACGTTTGACTCGACCAAATTCAGGAATTTCTATATCAAGTTCATCATCCAATCCAGCAACTCTCTCCTCTTCTGAATCATCCAACCGAACATCCTTCACAGAGTCATCATCACTATTAGAGAAATTCTCCCCAACAACACCTTCGTTGCCACCATCAAAAAGTGTAAACATTTCCACTTCCACATTGTTAGTAATTGCAAAGTTTGGCATGTTTGATGCAACACTATCACAATTTATCTCTTTGAAATCAGAAGCACCAAATTTCCACCACAGCCTAACAGAATGCTCTCCATATGTCAAGTCTTCTTGTACGATTCACAGGGCTTCAAAATAGGACCACCTATCCATATTCACATTGTTCACATGCATTGGCTCGTTGCCCCCAACATAATGCATCACCGGGTCTAACTCAAAATGACCCCATGATGAAGTATTAGATTGAAATCCATCAACACAATTGTAAAGGAACCAAATCTTTGTGTCCAGAAAAAAAAACTCATCAAAAGAACAGTTAAACTCTATCAAATTATAAACCCTAATAACCTAAGCAACCACTTACCTTCAACACAGGCAGAGCATGACAAGGGCTTCGTCAAGAATAACTTTGACAATGCTTTAACAACGAATTGTTTCCCTTAATCGCGAAATGAAATTTTTTATAAAAAAAATAAAATTTGACGTGGCCAATGATGTGGACAGTGAGACGAACATTTAAATGATATGACAGACACTGTTGAGTAATAACATGACAATTCGTCATCATCACTTAATAGAGGAGGACTAACATCAGGTACTAAATTGAAAAAAAAAATAGTCAAGTATTTAAAATAAAAAAAAAAATTAATAGGTAATAATCTGAAAATCGATTTAATTAGAGAAAATTTGAACATATTTAAACTTGAATAAATTATTTTTAATAGACTTAGTTACACATTTTTCTTGTATAGTTTCAAGATTTTTGTGAAATTTGTACTTCCTGTGATTGGGCATCCATTTCACTAGTTGATTTCTAGAAACTGTAAATTTTTTACCCACAAATTTGACGAATCCTTTTTCGTTGTAAAAGTGTAAAACAAAACTTGATGTTTACAAAAATATTTCTGCCGGCAAACATGCATTGTAATTAAATTACGTAGCTAAAAACTGCTGAAACGAAAACAAATTTGACGAATCCTTTTTCGTTGTAAAAGTGTAAAACAAAACTTGATGTTTACAAAAATATTTCTGCCGGCAAACATGCATTGTAATTAAATTACGTAGCTAAAAACTGCTGAACCGAAAAACTGATAAATCCAAACAGATCTAAATCTGCAAAACTTTTCTCTCAAATGTGTGCTTTCATAGCTCAGTTGGTTAGAGCACCCGTTTAGTAAGCGGGAGGTCTTGAGTTCGACTCTCAATGAAAGCAAAATTGTGTTTCACGATTTTACATTCTATATAATCAAATTCCTTTCTCTTCTCTATCTTTTTAGCCAAATTTCAATAAATTTGCAACTTGCTTTTCAAAAAGAATGTTATTCCAGCAATCATAATCATAATATGTAACAAGTAAAGACCTTTTACATCAAGGAATTGATAAGTGAGAGTAAGAATCATTCCATTTCCAAGTGATGGATGTAATGATGATATCTGGGGTCAGTGTCATTCCACCCAAAGCACTTGAAGAATGAGTAACATGGCAAAAGGATGCATCTCTGGAAAGCAATGAAAATGTATGAGGTAGCCAGAAAACAGCAACATGAATTCAAGAAAGGATCATCATAGGGACTATCTCCTCCTCCTAGTTTGTGGAGCTTTTGATGATGAATATGATGATTACTACCATGATGGTGATGGAGATGTCCCATTTTTTAGCTTTTGGAAAAACCAAAACCAAGTGCAGCAATCAGTAGTCAGAATTCAAAGATAACTAGAAATAAACACACTATGAAAGAAGGCATGCATTCTCTCTTACCCTGCCTTCATCAAGAGAAGAAGGTGAATTTGATAATATTATATATCAAAAGTTAAAATGTGTAGCAATCAGAAAGAAATTGAATGCGGTAGATATACACAAACATGGAGGAAGGTGACATTGATATCCGGCTAAAACGAATTTGATAATTGGCAACAATGATTGATGTCAATACTTAACTGTATCAGATGCCTCTAGAATCAATCAATCAATCACAACTTTATATTGAAGACCTTGCTCCACAAATACAGCTTCTAAAGCAATTTTTCTTAAAATTGAATGGTATACTATAGTCGATAATTTCCGTTTATGATCATGATCAACCAGTTAAATCATTTAAATGGACCAGTCAAGTGGGATAAAAATGACTCTGATAATAGTATAAAATTTAGTGAATATTATATCTGAAAGAATATTGACTTGGAAAAGGTTGATTTAAGTTGTACCAATTAATAACACGTTTGGATTATTAGCTGATGAACCTACTTTTAAAAAAGGATGTTGCACATGTTTGGGTTCCATCCAAATTATTGTGCCAGTCATTTCAATGCACTTCTAACACACAAGTAACTAGTGATCCTTTTGGAAACGTAATTTTGAGCCCTTTCAACAGTAACTCAAAATTTATAAAAGAGTAACATACATTTTATTAAACATAAATCACTTGTTGAATAAATGGATTTATGCAGATTTGACTTATTCAAAGTATGAGATTCAAAAGAATCAGTAAGATCAATCTAGTAATGGAATTAAAATAATATACCATGATCTTCAGTTATAAAATTTTTATTGTTATCATTATAATACCTACTAATAAAATAAAAACATAACCAATTTGTTTTATACATGATATTAAAAGAAAACTTGTGTGGTCTTATTCACACTAAAAAAATATACTTTCTTAAGATTAAGCTTAAGACACAATTGCTTATACCATACCATTATAATTAATAAAGAAGACATTCATGTTTCAAACGTAAACAACCTAATCATGATAAAAACAACTAAATACTTCCTCTGTTTTACATTATTAAAAAAATTAATTTTACACATTAAAAAAATTAATTATTTATATTAAATCTTACTAATTTTATAACATTTTTCTTAAATTTTCCTTATTATAAATGTCAAAGAAACAACTAAAAGATCATACATTAAAATAGACATATTTTAAGTAGGGTACCATTAAATGAGGTAAAAGTAGTTAAAATGTACTTATATTTAAAAAAAGTTTTTTTTTAATATTTTAACCTTTTCTTATTCATAAATTATACCGTTTTCTGTGAGTGAAATGTCAATTGCGTAAACAACTATTAATATCATTTCATCCCATTAATCAATCATCTCTCACAAATTGAAATTTTACAATTATGTAACCAAAAAAGAAAGGTTGTACAACGGATTTGAAAAAATACTGAATAAAAATATAATGCAAATGGCCACTCATCGTGCGTTGTATAGGAATGACACCATATTATTCTATTGTACCAAACACATACTAGTAAAAGAATATTTTCATATCTCTTATTGGACATTAAGTATGCAGAAGGAATACTCACCGACTTGCTCAGGTATTATTGTATAAATAAATAATCTGTGCAAGTGTAATCTACTTAAAAATATAAACGAGAAAAGGTTGGGCAGTCTAGGAAATATACAATCCGAACCTTGTAATAAATAAACTATGTTGACACCTTTTTTAATGTCTATTTAATTGAATTAATCTTCTCTTCCTCAACCATTCTTTCTTCGAGTATATCCTATTTATTTGGTTATTTTTTGTCTTCGCCCTTCTAATGTAAAAACCGGTTGACTTTTTTGATCGAATTTACTACCATAAAGTATATAACTACTAAAATTTTGAACTGAATCATGGGAGTCTCTGTCAATAATGTGGGAAATTTTCCTTAAAATCCTGAAACAGTAATTTTGGAACTCGTTTTGCTATAGGAAAAGGGAATGTAAATTTGAACTTTGAAGGCATAGAGATGGATACATAGGGATGATGGTCATTTGAAACCAAACCAAGGAATGATTTTATCACACCATCTGTTATGAAAAACTACTCTAATGTGGTACGTATGAGTTGCAATTAAACGATTTTGATCTAATGGTGAGATTGCCTCCTTTGTTTCCCCATCACCAACCGACACCTGTTGCATACAAAACCACATGCATATATGGACATCCATCTACAGACATGTTGTGAGAAATGATGTCAGTCATATGAAACAACACTACTATACAAGTTTGACATTACTCTCGCTTATCTTCCTCAATATCTTCTCCAAAGGCATGATCTGTGGCACTTGAACCCTTCCTTTCCTTCCGATCAAGCTTGGCTGCCACATCCCCACTTATCTTCGCTACACTGCTCGTCAGAGAGATGCCCTCCTCATCAAAGTCATCACCTGTTTCCTCCATGTATGCATATCTAGAAACAAACATACATATGGAACAAATCAGCCTAAAGACAGAAACAAGACCAATCGAGGCAAGAAGGTGCTAGAGAAAAAGATGATAAAGATTATTGATTTCTTTAATGAGTAAAATGTATAATATTCATAATTACTGATTTCTTTAATAAGTAAAATGTATAATATTCACAATTACTAAGAATATGTTTGGATAAATTTTTCTAAAAGCCCTTCAAGAAAAATAAGAAGGAAAATTGAAATAAACTTCTTTATAAGTTAAAATTAACTTATACATAAATTAAAAATAAGATTTTGGAAAAGCTAATTGCTGAGAACTTCTATAAATTAGCTTAAGGATAAGCTAATTGTAACTTATGGAAAAACTTATTTCATTTTTCCTTTTTATTTTCCTCTCCTAGAAGTGGATTTAGAGAAATTTACTCATACAGACCCTAAAATAGATTTTTTATTTAAGCTAATTTGGAAATAACAAAACTAAAAAAAGAAGTATGATGTTAACTAAGAATGAAGAAGTACATGTTAGCATTAGCATATCAGAGATAAAGTCAAGTAATGGCTGCACACACAAGGTAGGTTAGAAAACTTAAAGTAGAGGTTTAAAAATTATATTGAAAATAACCCATAAGAGCAGGTTAGCATTCCCCATGTATACACACAAAAGGCAGGTAGAAACCACAATGAAGATTGACTAGGCACACATACTGAAACTAATGTGCCTAGATAATCTAGGCGCACAATACTAAGATTAATTAACATAACACTAATTCGTGTAGTGAGTGGTTTAAGACAAATTATATTGAAAATAACTCATTAAAGCTAATGTGCCTACTGCCTACTGAGCTCTCAAAATGGTCAAACCATAACTGAAATTCATACATTCTGAAAGAAGGGAGAATCCATATGGAGTATCCACATATATGTATCCACCTAGCTACAGGAAGAATATGAACACCATACTACATGTGAATTGCAGAAGGCCTAGTATAGTTTGGGAATTAGAAAGAGCTGTGTAGGCAATGGGAAACAGATAGAGCCAAGAACAAACACTGTTTATTAAGCACAGATATGGTTTGGAAATTTGAAAGAGCTGTGTAGGCTATGGGATACAGATAAAGCCACAAGAAGAAACACTGTTTATTAAGCACAGATATGGTTTGGAAATTTGAAAGAGCTGTGTAGGCGATGGGATACAGATAAAGCCACAAGAAGAACAAACACTGTTTATTAAGCACAGATATGGTTTGGAAATTTGAAAGAGCTGCGTAGGCTATGGGATACAGATAAAGCCACAAGAAGAACAAACACTGTTTACTAAGCATGGTATGATTTGGAAATTTCAAATTCGAAAGAGCTGTATCAGCTATAGGCTATGGGATACAGATAAAGCCAAGAAGAACAAACACTATTTATTAAGCATTCTACTTCTGTGGAGGAGTAACAATACTTTTGGTGTATGTGGATGACATATTAGAGACAGGAAATGATGAAATATTAAGCACAACACTACAGATAAGGAATTACTAACATTTTTTTTTATGCTGAGGCCTGGTTTGAAAAGGGAAATACAGTGGCACAACTAATTCCCCATAACATCAATTTGCATCGATGGTTTGTGTCTCATTTTGTACACTAGCAATTTAGCACACACATACACACAGAAACGAAAGATATAATGAAGGTTAAATAGAATCTTGCATTTTCATCAACAGGTTAAATGAAACTTGCATTAGTGTATCTAATGTAACAGTTTACCATGCAAATAAAATCCAACACACATCTAAATGTGCAGTATATAAATGCAAATTTGCAATGAAATGAAAGAGAAAAAAAATAATCAGCAAATGAAGACCCAAAGCAACTTAGCTATTGGAATAACTAGTTCTAACTTCTAAGCTCAGATATTAAACGCATTTCAAATAAAAAGCTTAAACATATTAAGCATAAAACCACCAAGTAACTGTCTTAAAAAATCACCATTCACCACACGAAGGCCATGGAAAGGACAAGTACCTAGTAGGGTTCCGAGAAGGAGCCCAAAGGACACATATCACCAGCAAGAGGGCATATGAAAGCAGGGACCAGAAAGCTGGAATAATCCAAGCAATTTGCCACAGCTCACTCAATGGATCGGTAGCATTGAAGTATAGCTGGTTGAACACAGTAAGAACCCCTGGTTAGCAACATTGACTCGCGTAAAAATGCACAAAATAGAATGCTAGAAAACTCCTACAGAGAGAGTAAATCTCTAAAATTGTTTATTTCTGTGCATCAAACATCTTTTTCCCAAGACCCACCTCAAAGCCAATCCACGCAATGGACAGCAGCACAGACACCGCAAGCGTGTTTGTAAACTTTCGGTAAAGCTCCAGTTTAGCCAAGTTTCTCCTCGTCTGCATCCAAAAATTTCAACACAAAATAGAACCACAATTGTTACACAAAAGTAACCAGTCCAAAAAAGCACACAACTCTTGCCTGCTATAACCCAACAACACTAACTCAAACACAGTCAAATCACAAACCAATGCAACATTTCCATTCCCATGACAAACCAACCAACGACAACAACAACACACTAGGAATGATATAGATAAAGTGAAATTGCCTGCAGTTTCTCCAAGGTTTTGGACAACGACGAGAAAATCCACAGAATGAAGCAGGAATCGAGACAAACGACAGGGAGCACCAAAAGCAGCTTAGTCTTCCCGGAGAAGTCATTAATATTCCCCAAATGCTCAACAAGCTCAAGCGCCTCCGAGGCAACAAAATAGAACAAGCCAAGCAGCAACACTCTGTAAGCAATCCCATGCCCACCGAGCGTGGGGCGAACAACCCCATACCCCATGGACACAACCAACAGCAGCAGCCGCGAGAGAGTCTTCTTAACAGAGGTAAAGGTAACTGCCCAGAGGGTAATCCCCATGGGCCTAGCCCCAGTGGAGTTGAAATTAGCATACTCAAAATACCACACAGCCATCTCACACATCCCAAGCGCAATAACAGCAGTGATATGATAATGCAAGTGAATGATATCCTTCCAGAACTGAACAAACCTCAAAAACCAAGCAAGCCCTAATAACAAGTAAGCTAGAGACATAAAGCCATAAAGGGTCATAAGAGGTGCCATTTTCCCAGGCAAGTAACCTTTAGGGTTTCTCCACACGGTCCTTCCCTGGATGGTGGTGCCCTTAAGCGAAGGGTCGCAGAACATGAAGTAGAGGTAGTACATCCCGGTGGCGTTGATCTCCAAGGTTTGCGTCTCCATCTTGATCTCGTCGTTGGTTCCCTGAAAGAAGGTCTTGATGCGTTTGGGGAATTGGGGGTTATCGGGATTCTTCTGGATAATGACTTCGCCGAGGTTGCAGTTTCCTTCCTTGGCGAGCTTGGGATCGCAGCAGAGCAAATCGGATTTGAGGAACGTGCCTCCGATCCGGTTCCGATCCCGAACCTCGAGGACTATGGCCTCCACGAGCCCCGAGTTCTGCTGCATCGAGCCGTGCACGCTGGCGGATTCGCGAGGGCGCGTGAACGTCACCGTTTCGAACCTGGAGAGGAAAACGACAGCGTTTTGGAAGCGGAAGGGGAAGGGTAAGCGAAACCCTAAGCGTGAGCGTGAGCGTACCTGATGAAGGATTTGGCGAAGAGGGCCTCGCTGCCGCCGTGGAAGAAGAAGGCGTCGGAGCGGTGGGTGAAGGCCTCGTTGGAGTAGTCGTGGATGGAGGCATTCGTCGGAGAGAGTAACAGTAACGGTAACACTAACAGTAACGGAAACGGAGGGTGGCTTTCACGCTCAAACGCCGTCATCGTTCAACACCAACATACAACAAGTGCTGCGCCAATGCAATGCAATGCAATGCAAGGCAATGCAATGCGACTTCTTTCTAAGGATAGTGTTTGCACTTTCCACTTTTGCGGTCTGTTTTTGCTTCATTAAAATTTAAAAAAAAATATTTTAATTTTATAATTACGTTATTATGTATGTGCTTAACTATTTTTATTAAAAAAAATATATTTCAGTTTTAATATTTTTTTTTCAAACTCATAAGATTCAGCAACATTGTTTCAACTTTCTATGCTTTTAATATGCTATTAAAAAATATGTACCGTCCCGGTCGTAATTCGACCTGGTTTCTTTATCGGCAATAGGGTGACTACATTCTTCTGCTCGACCAATACCCGACTAGGTCGTCAGGCCTTAAGCCCTCTCGCCTTATAGGCTCAGGGCTGGAAGGCAAGTGTGCCGTCCCGGTCGTAATCCGACCTGGTTTTCCATTCAGTAATAGGGCGAGCAGGATCCTCTACTCGGCCTTAACCCGATTGAAGGGTCAGCACAGACCTAGTCGGTCATAACCCGACTAGACTAGCTAATTTGATTCCCCTCACCTATAAGGGGATTACTCGGCATTTACCTGACTGGGCCCTCGGTATAGACCCAGTCGGTCGGAATCCGACTAAACTCGCCCCCACTTATCTCGCGCCCTCTTGATAAGAACGGTTAGGAAGGTCCCTTCATTCTCGGGGCCCAAGAGGCCCATTGACGACACACCATAAAACCTAAAACCCTAAGGCTAAGAAGGCAGATTACACTCTTGAATGCTCTGGCTCTAAGGCTTGATATAGGAAAAAAAACCCTAGTTCATCCCTTGGCCGGAACATTTTGGCGCCCACCGTGGGTCCACGGTGAAACTTTTCCTACGCCCCAAGTAATACAGAAGACCCACACTTTACCATGGCGAGAGGCGGCAATAACAACAACAACTCACAACCCCCTACCATGGAGGAGATGATGGCCATGATCAATGGCTTAAGGGAGGAGAACGCGCGATCCAGGGAGAGAGAGGATGCATTTCAGCGCGAGAATGAAGAGATCAGAAGGCGAGCGGACGAGATGCAGGCCAGGTTAGAGGCCAGTACCAGGACGGTGGAGGAAGACGTCATAATGGAAGTCCCTAGGGAATTCCGACCTTTCTCCGAAGCTATAGGGCCGAGATCATCCCTAGGGATCATCGGATACCCCAGGTTGAACCTTTTGATGGAACGCAGGACCCCAGTCAGCATTTGACGGACTTCCGAGCTCAAATGTTGATCTGCGGAGGGAGCATGGAAGTCCGCTGCAAACTGTTCATGGGAACACTCAAGAAGGCGGCACTCGATTGGTTTAGTGGCCTCCCTGACCGATCGATCACCAACTTCGATGTCTTCAGTCGACTCTTTATGGCACAGTTCGCCGCTAACAAGAAGAAGCCTCCGATCACGTCGGATTTGTTCGATCTCAAGCAGCAGCGGGAAGAATCACTGAAGGACTTTTTGCAAAGGTTCAATGAGATCGCCTTGAGGATAGCATCCCTGGATGAAAGGATGGTTGTCATCGCATTCCAGAAGGACCTGAGGTTTGGAGCTTTCGACATTGCGCTGGAAAGAGAAAATTGCCAGACGATGTCAGAGGTAAGAGCCTTCGCGCTGAGTCACATTAAAACAGAGGAAGGGCAGATCAGCAAGAGGGCAGCGGAGAGCAGAGAAGCAGGGGGAAGCGGTAACGATGGCAACAAGCATCTCCGACCACGGTCAGATTGGAATAAGCGACGCGATCGTTACAACTCGAAGGAGGTCAATTACCGACAAGCCGATAGGGGAGGTCGGCCTAGGGGTGAGTGGACACGTACTAACGACGAAGAGAAGTTTACCCTGCTCAACGTTCCTAGGAGGCAGATACTCCATGATGTCAACAGCGCAGCGTTGTTCGAATTCCCAGCAACAACGGAGCGCCAATTGGGTCCCTTCAAGACCGACTGGTGCGAGTTTCACACGACTCACGGGCATTCTACCAAAAATTGCTTCGTCCTTGGAAGACAGATTGAACGCTTGATCAAGGAGGGACTCTTGAAAAAATTTGTAGCGAAAAAACAGGAAGAGGGCTCGTCAGATAGGCGACACAGGCGTGCGCAGGATGATACAAGGAGGGACAGGCATAGAGAGAGAACTCCTCCCAAGGACATTCCAGCAAGTTCGTCGGAGACCCATCAGTAAGTAGTCCATGGGGATTTCAACACGGTGGCAGGAGGATTCGCAGGAGGAGGAGTCACCTCGGCTGCTCGGAAAAGATACACGCGTTCTGTCTTATCTGTGTCGGAAATTTGCCGACCACCGCATCCCACAATTTCTTTCTCGGACGCCGATTATGAAGGGGTGGCTCCTCACGAAGATGATCCCATCGTCATTTCGATGATAGTAATGGGTTATAATGTGAAGCGCGTTCTGGTTGACCAGGGAAGTTCAACCGATATCCTCTTTTGGGAAGCTTTCGTGGGAATGAAGATCCCCAACGACCGACTGGTGCCTTACGCGGGAACTCTGGTAGGATTTGCAGGAGATCAGGTTATGGCTAGGGGATACACCGATATAGAAACGACCTTTCGGTCAGGGCTCGCAGATGAAGACGGTGACCATTCGATACTTAGTGGTGGATGCCCAGTCGTCGTACAATATACTCATCGGCAGGCCTACGTTGAACAAACTGGAGGCCGTTGTATCAACCGCGCACCTGAAAGTGAAGTATCTGTTGCCTAATGGAGTGGTCGGAGTCCTCAAGGTGGACCAGGAGGTTGCCCGGAAGTGTTATGCGGATAGTTTGAAGGCGAGGAGACGCTTATACACCACACCTGTTGAAAGACACATTCATTCCATCGAGCTGGACCCTAGAATGGGTCAGTTTGATCATCGACCTGCCCCTGCGAAAGACGTCAAGGAAGTGGAGATAATGGAAGGGAGAAATGTAAAGATAGGGACCTATTTAAATTATGAGGAAGAAGAGAAATTGGTGAGGGTTCTAAAAGACAATGTGTCGGCATTTGCGTGGCATTCTAGCGACATGCCTGGAATTGATCCAAATTTCTTGTGCCACAAGTTGGCCATAGACCCTAGCGCGAAGGCAATAATCCTGAAGAGGAGGAAGTTCGGAGAGGAGAAACGAAAGGCCATTGCGAAAGAAACAAAGAAATTGGTACTGGCGGGACATGTCCGAGAAATTCAGTATCCGACATGGTTGGCGAATGTGGTGATGGTTCACAAGAGTAATGGGAAGTGGAGGATGTGCACGGATTTCACCAATCTTAATAAGGCTTGCCCGAAGGATTCGTATTCGCTGCCTAACATAGATTGTTTGGTCGATGGAGCGTCAGGGTACGAGTTGTTGAGTTTCATGGATGCCTACTCGGGCTACAACCAGATACGTATGCATCCGACAGACGAAGATAAGACGGCCTTCATAGTAGATCAGGCTAATTTTTGTTACAGGGTTTTGCCGTTTGGCTTAAAGAACGCGGGGGCAACCTATCAACGATTAATGGACAAGGTATTAGTAAATCAGCTGGGTCGGAATGTGGAAGCTTACGTAGACGACATGGTGGTGAAGTCGATGAGCACTGGTCGGCATTTTGATGATTTGCAGGAGCTATTCGACATTATCAGTGTGTACCAACTCAAGTTGAATCCAGAAAAGTGCTCATTTGGGGTCCAAGTAGGAAAATTCCTTGGTTTCCTGTTAACTCATCGTGGCATCGAAGCAAACCTTGACAAGTGCTCGGCCATCATCAACATGAGGAGCCCATCTACGGTGAAAGAGGTACAACAACTAACGAGAAGGATGGCTTCTCTTTCCCGTTTTTTATCAAGAGCAGCGGATAAGGCACTGCCCCTTTTTCAATGTCTGGAAGAATGAGTGGTTCGCTTGGACGACCGAGTGTGAAGAAGCCTTCTCGGAACTCAAGAAGTCATTGGCATCTCCGCCCATCCTGACAAAACCACGACCGAACTTGCCCTTGTTGGTTTACATTTCGGCATCCGACCCAGCCGTCAGTTCAGTTCTGGTACAAGAGCAAGAAGCTTCACAAGTTCCTATTTACTTCGTGAGTAGGGTTTTACAGGGAGTAGAGGCGAGGTATCAGAGGATCGAAAAGTTGGCCCTTGCGATACTGGTCACCGCGAGGAAATTGAGGCACTACTTCCAGAGTTACGAAGTGGTAATTCACACTGATCATTCGATTACCCGAACTGGCAGGCCGAATGATGAAGTGGTCAGTTAAGTTATCTGAATTCTCAATCAAGTATGAACCAAGGGGAGCAATCAAGGCCCAAGCATTAGCTGACTTCCTGATGGAACTGACCCCTCCTGTTGAGGAGAGGGGAGTCGGAGAAACACAATGGATTCTATCGGTGGATGGCGCTTCGAACCTAGGAGGAAGTGGAGCTCGAATTGTCTTGGAAGGTCCGGGTGGCATACTGTTGGAACAGTCACTACGCTTCGAGTTCTGGGCGAGCAAAAATCAAGCAGAGTATGAAGCACTGTTGGCAGGAATGACTTTGGCAAAAGAGATGGGGGCGACGAGCTTGTCAGCTATAAGCGATTCCCAGCTGATTACCGGACAAGTGGCCGGAACCTTCCAGGCGAAGGATCCTCAATTGGCCAAGTATTTGGAAAAGGTGAAACTCCTATCGAAAAATTTCTGAGAGTTCACACTCAACCACGTACCACGAGAGCAAAACTCGCGGGCCGATCTGCTGTCTAAACTCGGAAGCATAAAGAAGCCAGGAGCCACTCGGTCGGTTATCCAAGAAACTTTATCCCAGCCGAGTATCAATTTCCCACAAGAGAGTGTTCTTTTCATCCAGGAAGAGCTCGATTCGTGGATGGGGCCGTACATCGCATACTTGACTCGGGGGGAATTGCCAGAGGACAAAAGAGAGGCTTCATTGATACAAAGAGAGTCAGCCAGATTTGTGATCATCAATGAGAGATTGTACCGAAGAGGTTTTAGTAGTCCCCTTTTGAGATGTCTGACCACATCGCAAGCACAAAGGGTGATGGATGAAGTGCATGGTGGCATGTGTGGAAGCCACAT